ATGCTTAAAGGAAAATTCTTAAGTATGTTATTTCACTGAGAATAGCAACTAACTGTAAGCTGCTACAAATTCAATCTTCATATTGTTGACTATTTATTGAGTTATTTGATTAACCCAGTTTCCCTGGCAGGAGGCAGTAATATGTAGTAGAATAGATTAAATGGGGTAACCTTTAATTTAGCATATTTTCTCTGCCAAGTGCAACATAGTTTTTTTTAACAACTCTTTGCAGTACTTTTTGTTAGGAGTGGTTATGTGATTTAATGTTATAAAATGAGTATCAAGAGGTAGTAACAGAGTTAGGCAGTTGAGGGGAGAGGTGTGTATTGGTGACAGGGCGGGGGATGAGAGGGCTGAAATTTATAAATTTCTAGTTCTTAGTCTTATGTTGGAGCCCTGGTAGTGGCGCAGTGGTTAAGAGCTCGGCTGCTCACCAAAAGGTCAGCAGTTGAAATCCACCAGCCACTGCATGGAAACCCTGTGGGGCAGTTCTGTTCTGTCCTATAGGGTCGCTATTAAGTCATAAACGACTCAACAGCAACAGGTTTTTTTTTGTGTGTCTTATGTTGAGCAATGGTTTCTCCAAAAGAAGCAGCTTTTTGTTTTGGTGTTTGTTGTTGTTGGTTTTTGATAGAACAGCCAGTTTCTTAAACTAGACCTTGCCCATATGGAACAACTTCCAGCTGACAGAATTGTTTCTGGTAAGGGATCTGGAGTAGTAGCAAACCAGTGTTCCAGAAAAGAAAGGAAACAAAGAGAAACTTCACCCACAGTAGCCAGGAAGTGTTTATTAAGTGATGGATTGCATTCCTTTCTTCAAATCATAAATAGTATATTTCCTCTTTTTACTTTTGTTCCTGTTTTATTATATTGGAGTTGTTTTAATATTGTAGAGGAATGGCCGAGTATGGTGAATTTTGTTTCACAAAGTCTTGTTCTTTTTCATGTGTTATTGAATAGGTAAATTTTGCCATGTCTATTAGTACAGTGTTTTATCTCAGGTTGTAATTTAAGAAACCACTCGGTGTTATTTGTGTACCTATATGTATATTATGCAGTCTGTGAAGAGATGAAAAGAATATGGACTTTAGAATTGGGCTTCATACCTTTTTGTTTTGAGTCCTTGGACATGTTATTTAGCTTCTCTGAACTTAGGTTTTCTAATCTGTGCAATTGTTAATAATGACCATTGCATGGGTTTTTTTAAAGGAGTAAATGAGTTAACCAATATGGTGTCTTGCCTCACAGTACATACTCTATACCAGTGAATCCTTTCTTCTTTACTAGGATCTTTTAAGAAAAAAAAAAAAATCCAGATTTGATAATGCTACATATAAATAATTTTCTTCAGGTTTTCGAGTGGTCTCCACAAAAGAGTAAGAAGCATCAAGGAGAATTGTGTGACTTTTAGACTGGTGAAGACGAAAATAATTTATTAGGGAGCTAAAGAAGCACATTAAAGAGTTCCCAAAGCAATTTTTTTTCTTTGTTCACTTGACTGCTCTGTGCAAAATGATGTGACTTGTCAAGGCTCCGTTATGTCCTACAAATATGCTTTATTGGAAGTAGGGTTTTATGAGTAGTTTATTTTAATGTTGTAAGAAACTTAGTAACAATAAGATGACTCAAAGGAGATGTTAACCATGTTGCCAGGAAAGGCCTCCCTTTTTTCTATGTAAGCATTTATTGCATAGTGAGCACATACTATCTCTGATGCTGTGCTATCAACTATCATTATTCAGGAGAAGGTTAGGATTATTTTACACAAAGGTCACTTAACTTTCATCATAATATCTACTATTTTAAGTTTGGAATATTTAATCTTTTAAAATTTGGAAGTTTTATCCTCTGCAAGCCTGACTGTAAATACCTTTTGGCATATTTGGCTCTCTTTATCCTTGTTAAAACAAGCTAACGTCAGTGTACAAAGCGCTGCTTGTAGAAAGGTGGATATGTCTAGTGATCTGTAAAGAAGAGACATCTCGGGTGAGAAGGGATATGAAAATGGCTTATGTTGGTAGTAACAATATGTTACAAAGTTCTCCCAAAGTTTAGAAAATAGTTCCACATATTTAGTTGTTTTGTGGTTTTTCTTCTGGTAATTACAGTGTTCCATGCAAAAAAAATTGGGAAAACAAAAAAGCGCAAAGAAAAAAGAAAGCCAAACACAAATCATCCTAATTCTGCCAACCAAAGAAAATCACTTTTAACTTTTTGATGTATGTCAGTGTTGTAATTTTTTCCCATCTCTTTGTGTGTGTGTGTGTGTGTGTGTGTGTGTGTGTGTATGCTTTTACAAAATTATGTTACAAGAATTATGTATATTATGTTTGAGAATTTGCTTTTTTGACTTGGAAACAGCATTTTCTTAGGTCAGTAATATTTTTTATAGGACAGTTTTGTTTGCTAGAAGAGAAATGGCATGAAGATCTTGCTGGGTAGGGTATTTGGAAGCTTTCTAGGTTATGAAGAGTGAAGATAGAAGGCTCAGTTGAAGAAGCAAGTAGAGAATTTAATTTTACTTGCAATGTTCGGAATGACTTAAAGGTTAGGATCCTTCATCTCATTGGAACTGTTGCTATGATAACTGCCTTAGGAGCCCTTGGAAGAATTTCCCCCAGTGGGTTTGTGATTTTTCTTTCAAAACAGTCACAGAAGACTTAAGGGAAGAGAGATGGAGATTTTTCTAAGATGAGCATGAGGTGGAATCAGCCAGATATACACAGTTAACTAAATATACTGGTTCTAACAGTGGTGGAATCCTAGCATCCACAGCTTGGGAAGGAACCACAGACCCCACCTAGTTCATAAACTCCAGTTTTACAGATAAGAAACTTGACTTATGAAAAGTCAAGTAACTAATTAGTATGAAGACTTAGGTCATATGGCAATTGGTTACTATTAAAAAATGTGATATTTATTACTTTCCTAATTTTCTCTGTTTTTGCTTTGTATTTTTCATGTCTGCAGCTCTCTTATCTCCCTCAATTTTCTGTTCATTTGTATATATTCCCATCTTTTCCTCTTTCTCCTCTTCTTCAGTTAGCCATTATATGGAATTAATGTATATTTTAAAAATCATTGTCCTTATTGAATAATTTTATATTCTCTGTTTAATTTTTTTTTAAGTATTCTTTGACTTTTGTGTGCCTTTTTTTAAGCTGGATAGTTCGCTGCCTTATTTCTATGTAATTCTAAATTTACTATAAATGTTTTTACTATCATCATATCGTTGCTATTAATAAGAGCCGCACAACTTTTTATCTGAAAAAGGATTTCCAATTCTTATAATGGGAGAAGAGTATTGGCCAAAGGAGGATGGGTGGGGCAAGAATCATCAGAAAAGTCTATGGGGTGTGGATTATATGATAGGAAACACTGTTCATTAAAATAAATTGTGGATCCACTTTTTCCTCTTGTCATCATTGTATACTTGACTTCATTCTAATACCTTTATAAATTGTCTATTAAAAAAAAATAATAAAACCAAACGCATTGCTGTCGAGTCAATTCCGACTCATAGCGACCCCATAGGACAGAGTAGAACTGCCTCATAGAGTTTCCAAGGGGCGCCTGGTGGATTCGAACTGCTGACCTTTTTTGATTAGCAGCTGTAGCAGTTAACCACTACGCCACCAGGGTTTCCAAATTGGTTATAGCATACAGATAAGAAAATGTTTAGAGCAATAAAATTAGATTTTTCTTCTCTGTATGTATGCTTAGAGATAAGGATACATTTCCTAGAAGTCCTGCAGGAGACTGCTCATGTTTCATTAGCCAGAATTGGGTTCCATACCATTCTTAAACTAATCTTCATTGAGGGGCATGGGATTAGGGCTTAATAATCATTTGGGGAAGAATGAATATGTGTGTGTAGTTCAGTCTCCATGACCATTATAGTAACTAGAGAAGCAACACCTTTTAAAAGCAGACTAGGAATTTATTGATCAAACAGACTCAGGAAAAAATAAAGCAAGTGGAATTTGAATCCCAGCCCCACCACTTAAGAACTGTTTAACTTTAAGTTCTTAATTTATCTGAATATACTTTTCCCCACTTGTAAATAAAGATGATAATGCCTAGTTCATAGGGTTGTTTTTAGAATTAAATGAGGTAAGACACTTAGCATGGAGTGTGGCATTTGGAAAATATTAAATGATAGCTATTACTAGTGCTATTACTGCTATTGGCATTTTTATCTCTATGTAATAATAGAATTTTATACTTTAAAGAGTTAGTTTTTTTATTTTTATTTTTTCCCCCTGAAGATATGCTATAAGGGCCTAGACCACAGTTGTGGAAGCCCTTATTTCCTTCTGTAGTTCTCTTGTATACTAGTGACAAATGTTTTGGCACAAAACACTTTTGATAAGAAGAGATTGGAGCACAGTGCATCCATTTCATTACAGGATGTAAAGATTAAAAATTTGGTAGTTGAAATAAAGACAAGTGATAGGAGATCACAGAAGGGAATTAAATATGATTCTCCCAACCTGTAATTATCGTTTCTTCTTCTCATTTGTGTTTACATAATGCCAAAAATGATTTTAAAAAGATACACAAGTCTGTGTTTCAGTAAAATAGATTTATAGTTGTATCTTATTTTGTTTTCTGTTGCTTTTGCTCTGCAGCCTTAAACTGTCCTGTCTTTCTTTTCTCTCAGATGACTCTCCTTTCGAGGTCTCTATTGAAACTCTTTGTTATTGTCACATACTTGACAGTTGAGTGCAGTGGTATCTGATAGGTACAATAATGATGGGAAACATAATAAGTTCAATATGAGCTGCTACTAAAGCAAATTGTATACATGGCTGTGTTAACTCATAATAACTTTATTTGGGGTAGCATGAAAGCTGAAGTGAAGCATATTTTATGAAAATGATTGTATTAGCTGACATATTAGTAATTTCTATTAATGTAGGTTTCTAAAATTTTTTATCTTTAATAAAAAGTGTAAGCTGCTTAGGGTGTGATTTTCTCTCATTCTTTGATATTTGCAGATGGCTTGTTCAATCAGTATATCAGTCAACAGGAATATAAGCCACGATGGAGTCAGATCATTCCAAAAAGCACCAAAGGTAATCCAACCCTTCCAGGTTGTGGGTACTTTTGCTTTAATGTCTTCAGTTTTCCTAAGATACTTCATGTCTCATAATACTGTCTTTAACAAAAAGCAGATGTTTAAAAGAAGACATAGTTTCCTTAGCTAGATGGCAAAGTTAGTTTATAAGAATTTTCTTTGAAACTGTATTGTTTTACTGCCATAATAGAAAGTTGGGCAGTTTTTACACAGAATACATCATAAACTGCTTTCATAGAGAAAATTATGTAGAACTATAGGCAATTGTGTTGTAATAAAATATGTGCATTCTTGAAAAACCTTCAGTTATGCGGAATTGCTTACTAAGCCTAAGAGACCTTATAAGAAAAATAGAAATGGGGAAGACCATAACCAGATGCTAATAAAAACTACTGTAATAACCCTAGTAAAAATAAATGCTAGCACAGTTAAATCTTTATAGGCATTTGCATTGAGCATCACTGTAAGATTGGAGCCTTAAGCGCCAGGGCTCATGCTTCCTTCTTTGAGATGTAGATCCTACAAGGCATTTGCTTCTCATAAAACTTGTTTTCATCAAAACTTAACATGTGATCCAGGGTGTGTAGTCTTCTTCACTAATCCTTTGTTTTCATACGGAGGGACTTTTTGTCACTCTTCATTTGCACTAGCTGCTTTGCCAGATAGTTATCAGGGTGGAAAGTATAGCAATTCTTTAATGTAACTATTTGCATTAAAGGGGGGTAGTGGATGTTTAGCTTTTTTTCCTTATGCTGTTCATATATTGCTAAGATCTTCTCTCTAATTGTGAGAAAGCTTTTCCTGATAGCTTTAAAACATTGATAGACTGGAAAAAACTTTTATGAACCTGTATGATTTCTGTATTAAACCAACATCATTCTATTCATCAGTCATGCATAAGGTAATTGTCTTCAAAGAAACCATGTTGTATCAGAACATACTGTGATTTTTTATCAGCAAACTAGTGGATTAAGTATATAAAATGCAAATATACTGAAAATAAATTTATTTTAGTGTTTTCTTAATGGATCTCTTGAGAGTGGCAGGACTGACTGGAGGGAGACAGGAAGAAAGGACAAAGCCTCAATGATAATGAACTGCAAAATCTAAAAGGCTACTTAATTATTAGAAAGGAGGAAGAATTTGCAATAAATTTCTGAATGATTAGCCCTTGAATAAAGTAATAATGAAAAGCTGCAACTTTGTATCTTATGTTCTGTATAACAGAACTGACATTTCAGTGTTTTTCATAGTACTTGTGTGAAATTAGAAATGAAATGTTCCCTATTTTACATAGGAAAAAACAGATAAGGGAAACCTTATACTTCATTATATTATGTATTAGACTTAATATATTTTAATTAATGGGGGAGTTAGAAATAAAACTTTACACTTTCTGGCTTATATCAAGTAATACGTTAGAATCCTACAACCTTTTGAATCATTGAAATGAAGTTATATAAGATTAGATAGAAATTGAACAATAGTTTTCTCCTTGAGAAGTTTGAAAGTTTCACTGCCTATATTTAAACCTGCCCATTAAGCTCTGTGATAGAAATAAGAACTAAAGTGAAACAGATCTTACATTTGTCTCTCTCACTACTCAGATAAAATAGTTGATAAATTCTGCAGGAACTAACTTCTGAAATATTGGCACAAAATTAATACAGTAAGGAAATTATCATTGTTATGAAACTTGATAACATCTTAGCTTTCAGTAGCTAGTTTTATGAACTTTAAAGCTGCTCATTATACTAATATATACTATACCTGAAATATAGACCTGAGATTTAATTCTGTAATTTTTGCTACCTTCAGCTTGTCTTATGTTTTTGTAGAATATCCTGTCTTTGCTCATTTATGGCATTGATCATAAATAAATTGAAAATAGCCTCTGAGTACATTAATAACCTGAGAGCATTAGGAAAAAGAGCAAGATAAATATTAAAACATAGCTTTAAGTCACATTCCTTCTTTTATTAGTCATTTTACTTGTTCTTAATATTTTGAAAGAATAAGTATAGTTTATTTTTGCTACTCATTATAGGCTTATGAATGAACTTTTTCTGGATTTGTAGTTCTTCTTTGTTGTCCCTTTAAAAGAAAGCATTTTTTCTCATTTAGGTGATGGAGAAGATAACCGACCAGGAATGCGAGGAGGCCATCAAATGGTCATCGATGTTCAGACAGGTAACACTTGCAATGCAAAGCAAAATCTTTAAAAAAAAATTTTGTTTAACATTAGGTAAACTAAATACACTTCCTTCCATTCATTACAAAAGTCCAGTGTTCTTGGCTATAACCAAGCAGCAAAGGAAATAAGCATTGACCACCAGCTTAACCTAAACCAAGAGTGGCAAATGAGGGAGGGAAGGCTACAGTACAGGTGAAATTAGATAGCATAAAAGAAATGCAGTGTGTAGCCTGTTACTGTGTGTGAATGTGTGTTGAGTTTATAGGTGTTGGATTTTCATGGAAAACACTCGTGTAATTCTAGATTTTCAGTGCCTTTAAATTTTAGTTCAGTAATATGGCAATTCTTGCGATAAAAGAGAACTAAGATATATTTTAGAGGAAAGAATGTCAAATTAGGTAGATAAGTGTTGGTAGGTCCATTAATTGCTAGACACTGTTCACAAGCCTGTAAATAATTTGTCTTAGCTTCTACTTCTCTGATGTCGTTTAAATGTTACTGTGAAGCTTGGTACTAAAAATTTTTCTTAGATTTTTATAGCCTATTTTAGTTAGGGAAGCCTAAATACCATTATATTTATAGGTCGATGGCAATATTGTAATAGGTTTCAAATTACTGCCTGAAGAGCAAATAATACCAAGAATTTAAGATAATTTTATTTTATTACTTGATTTTAGAAAATTTTACTGCATAGAGGGCCTATATATCCACCCAAGTAATATTTTACTTTTTCCAATTCTCAGTTCTGTTATTGTGTTATGCTGACTCATAGTGCTTTGGGAATAAAAATATTGTTTTTGTAGATTCGCATTATTAAATAATTAAGAATAAAAATTATTACAGTGTGGATACCAAATCTTCTTAGCATTAATATCTTTTCATAATTTTTTGTAAGTAGTGAGAAAAGAAATTGTAATATTCTATTTAAAATTAACCACTACATTTGTAGTTACCTTTGAGCTGGCGTGGAAGTATTATTAGGGTCTCTTTAAAAAAAAGGTTCGTTTCAAAGCGTAGGAATTTGCTTTTCTAATCTTGGTCCCTCCCCCTAGGGCCCTTTCCCCCTATAAGAGTAGGTTTAAATCAGCTATAGGGTCTTCAGCGCTTTTTTCTGCATGAGAGTCCAATAAATTTACCTGTGCTTATTTCTTAAAGAACCAGATTTATATACAGATTTTTTCAAAATCCATAAAAATTAAAAACTGCGGAACTAGAGATGAAAATTTGAGTTTAGATGATAGAAGCCTTTTCCCTCTTTTGAACAGTGAAATTTTCTTCCTCAGTCCCATAATGAAAATATTAAACCGTTAAAAAAATTTTTTTGCTAATAATATAATAGAGTACTTGAATAGCTCCTTTAATTTTCTAAGCAAAATGCTGTTGTTGTGTGCCATTGAGTCATACTTTCCTTAAATGTGAAATCTCTGGCAGTTTACTTTAACATCTAAAGCTTACTTTATCTGGGGGCAGAAGGAATTTTCATAGAATTTACTATGTGTTGCTGTGAGGCTGAACAGGTTTCAGTGGAGCTGACAGACTAAGACAGACTAGGAAGAAAGGCCTGGTGATCTGTTTCTGAAAATCTGCCAGTAAAAACCCTATGGATCACAATGGTCTGACCCCATTGTGCATGGGGTCACCATGAGTTGGGGGCCGACTTGACAGCAGCTAATAACAACTGTGTTAATTATGATGGGAAATGAGCCATATGCAATAGGTAAAGTACATGTGTAAGAAAAGAGAAAAAAAATTGTTTTCTCCTTTTTTATAACCCATGAAATTTGAAAGTGGAAAATTAAAAGGATTCAAATGATAACATATCTCACCGCAGAGATTAGTGTGAGCAAAGCTATTGAGGATTAAAAGCTAACTTTTCAGATCAGAGCCTTCAACTGAAATACTTAGAATGATAAAGGTCCACATATTTTGTTTTATGCATTAGAGGCAGGATTTCAGTATACTGTTGGTGGTAAAGGCTCTTTCCCCCATGTCCTTTAAGAAATATTTCAAGGAGAGTAGTTGTTTCAGTGAAATATTTATTTGATTTACTTTCAAAACAATAATTATAAGAAAGCATAGTAAGAATAATTATAGTCATGGGATATTACTCCAGATGGGATCTTTAAAGGAGTAATCTCTTTTTGATAGCCTCTGAGGGTATATTATAGGTTAATACTGCATCTACAAAGAAAAATTGGCTTGTATCAGCACTTCTAGTATTGGCACTATTTTATAGAATGTAGTACACCTACTCTTCACTTACCAACTATTTCATTATCCTACATTTTGCATTTACGATTGTGTTTTGCATTAATGAGCTGAGATGAGAGGAGAAGTAGGGCAAGGTTTGTGAAAGAGAGCGAGGCCACCCGGGCCTGCGGTTAGTATTACCCAGGTCAGGTGGAGCCAGCTGGGCCAGCTGTGGTGAGTGGGGTAGGCAGGCTGCAAGGAGACGGTGGGAGTCACAGGAGTCGGGTGGGGGGCCTGGAAGTCTCCTTCCAAAGAGGCCTGTCTGCTACTTCCGCAGCTTCCACCGGGCCCAGGTGGCCAGGCCTCACCTGCCCGCAGGCCCTGGAGAGGCCCACTGCCAAGGCCTATCTCCGGGGTGAGGCCGGTGGAGTGGAAAGGTGAAGAAACGAGGCGCAGTAGTCTGTGTGGAGTCCTGGAGTGGGGTCAGGTGATAGTAGGCCTCTGCTGTTCCAGAGGCTTCGGGCAATCCCCGACTACCACCGCTACCCCCCAAACCCTGCTGGCTCCTTGGTGGTGGGGAAGGTGGGCTCACACACCACACACATCCCAAGACATGCCAGGGCACCCAGCGGGTAGTGAGTGACAGGGAAGGAGTTGGGGGGGTAGGGACCAGTGCCAAAGAAAGGACATGGTCCCAACTCTTGCACAACGCTGATTTTCTCTTAATGATCTGGTCTTTGGAACCTAACCATGTTAATAAGTGAGGTGTGGGTATAGAAGTACTTTAGAAATATATTTTAAGCCATATTTCTACCATACAAAGTTTAGGGACTATTGTATTAGTGGAGGACTTTTTAAAGAACCATTTTATATCTGTTTCAATGCTCTATTGTTTTTAACTTTCTGGATGCTGGGTCATTCTTTATTTGGGCCCATAGGCGGTGATAAAACTAGATATTTAGCCTTAAAAAGGAACTGAAAACCGAAAGTATGGTATAGCTGAATAATCAATTAATATAGATGGGCCTGATTTTCAGTGTTACCATTACTTCTTACGGTAAGGAAGCCTTACTAACTATAGGTGAACGTTGAGATTGAAAAGGTTGAACCACATTCTAGTGAGTAATAGAGATGGCATGTAAAACATTTTGGTGTGGAGTTCTTCCTTTTTTTTTTTAATTGTGCTTTAGGTGAAAGTTTACAGCTCAAGTTAATTTCTCATTAAAAAATTTATACACGTATTGTTTTGTGACATTAGTTACAATCCCCACAATGTGACAGCACACTCCCCTTTTCCACCCCAGGTTCCCTGTATCCATCTGACCAGTTCCTGTCCCTTCCTGCCTTCTTATCCTGCTTTTGGACAGGAGCTGCCCATTTGTTCCCATATTATCTGATTGAACTAAGAAGCACGTTCCTGAAGTGTATTATTTTTTGTTTTATAGTCCTGTCTAATCTTTGTCTTAAGAGTGGGCTTTGGGAATGGTTTCATTTCTGGGTTAACAGAGCATCTGGGGGCCACAGTTTTGGGGATTCCTCCAGTCTCTGTCAGACCATTAATTCTGGTCTTTTTACATGAATTTGAGTTCTGTTCTACGTTTTTCTCCTGCTCTGTCTAGGACTCTGTTGTGTTCCCTGTCAGGGTGGTCATTGGTGGTAGCCAGGCACCATCTGGTTCTTCAGGTCTCAGGCTGGTTGAGTCCCTCGCTTATTTGGTCCTTTAGTCATTTGGGCTAGTATTTTCCTTGTGTTTTTAGTTTTCTTCATTCTCTTTTGCTCCGGGTAGGATGGGACCAATAAACGTATCTTAGATGGCCACTCGCAAGGTTTTAAGACCCTAGACGCTACTCACCAAAGTGAGTATGAACTGTGTTATGCCAGTTGACCTAGATGTTCCCTGAAACTATGGTCCCTAGGCCCTAGCCCCAGCTACTCTGTCCCTCAAAGTGTTTCGATGTGTCTAGGAAACTTCTTGGCTTTTGCTTTGGTCCAGTTGTGCTAACTTCCCCTGTATTGTGTGTTGTCCTTCACTGAAGTTGACCCTTGTCTACTATCTAGTTAGTGATTTTCCCTCCTTCTCCCTCCCCACCCTTGTAACCAGCAAAGAATGCTTTTTTCTGTGTTTAAACCTTTTCTCGAGTTCTTCTAATAGTGGTCTCATACAGTATTTGTCCCTTTGTGACTGACTTACTTCACTCAGCATAATGCCCTCCAGATTCATCCATGTTGTGAGATGTTTTGTGGATTCATCATTGTTCTTCATCATTGCATAGTATTACATTGTGTGTATGAACATGATTTGTTTATCCGTTCATTTGTTGATGGGCATGTAGGTTGTTTCCATCTTTTTGCTATTGTGAATAGTGCTGCAGTGAACATGGGTGTGCATGTATCTATTTGTGTGACAGCTCTTATTTCTCTAGGATATACTCCTAGAAGTGGGATTGCTGGATCGTATGGTATTTTTATTTCCAGCATTTTAAGGAAGTGCCATATCATTTTCCAAAGTGGTTGTACCGTTTTAGATTCCCACCAGCGGTGTGTAAGAGTTCCCATCTCCCCACAACCTTACCAACATTTGTTATTTTCTGTTTTTTGGATTAGTGCCAACCTTGCTGACATGAGATTGTATCTCATTATAGTTTTGATTTGCATTTCTCTGATAGCTGATGATTGTGAGCATTTCCTCCTGTGTCTGTTAGCCACTGGAATGTCTTCTTTGATGAAGTGTCTGTTCATATCCTTTGCACATTTTTTAATTGGATTATTTCTTTTTTTATTGTTCAGGTGTTGCAGTATCTTATAG